GGTTAAGGTTAATCCTGCAATTGCATCTGCTGCTGTTCCTTCCACAAGTGACGAGAGGTAATTAAATTTATCAATACTTGATAGTGTGGGATTGTTGTGAATTGACGACTCAAAAGTATCCCAGAATGTCGCCCAAGATGTGGGATCTCCCCGAAATGCCCTAAGATTTAACTTTGGCAACTTTACTGTGGGTATTTTGGTGTAATTATTCATGAAATTTGAAGGGTCAGCTTGTATACTGTTGTCACCATGGTTACTGGCAGTTTCTGAATTATTCCCTGTTATGGATGTAGTGGGTTGCGTAGGGGTAACTGGGGTTATGACATTGTTTTCAGTATTCAGTTGTGTAGTACTTGATTTCTCATATTCATCTAAAGCCATTTGTACTTCAATAATAACAGACTCGATTTTCTCTCGTGAAATATCCCCTTGCTCAATCTCTAACTCTATGTCCTCTACACTTACCAGCGCCAAAATAGCTTCATCTTGCTCTCGGAGTGATTTCAACTTCGCTTCGAGTGTTGACTTTTGTTGTTTTAACTTCGCAATATGCGGAGTTAACTGCGATTTCTCCGCCACACTCATAAGAGTTTCGCCTATAGACGCCATAATTCGTTTCGCTGAGGTTCTATGTCCGTTTCGACATCTTTTCTTTCGAGTCAACTCTTCTTTTTCGGCCATTGTTCAGGATTTATGTATCAGAATCTTTTCAATATGGCGGCTCAAATTCAGATGTATAACCTCACGTATTATTTTGTAATATCCGGCTCGGAAGGACCATGTAAAATATTTAGATTAAAACTCTCAAAGGACTCCTTTCTCCAAGGTTCAAGGCTCAACTCATGCGTGGTTCAGACTCATTAAAATATAAATAACACAAACTTTATTACAAAAACGCTGCCATATGAAAACTCTACGCTCGTCTCATTAGTATTCCATGTGTTCACAAAATAAACGTCATAGAATATTACGCAATCTTTGACATGCATGAATGTTGACAATGTCACAATGAAGAAGTAGATTTTGCAAGAATAACAGAGGAAGAGAAACGACAAATAAGATCTAAATAAGTACCCGACAAATAAGATCTAAATAAGTACCGACAGTTAGTAGCCTGCGTAGCAGACGTTTATAGTGCGGGCGGGAGAAGAGAGGGCGTCGTTAAATAAACGCCTGCCCAAATGCCTATGATTAATTAGCCTGCGCGGCAGGCGGTATTTCTACAGGCAGCGAAAATTAGGGAGGCAAAGGAAATACCGTCTGCCGCAAAACTAGGGGTTTTTGAATTACCCGTCCGCTGGTGAACGGAAAAAACGGATTGGTTAGTATTTTTATGTAGTTGTCAATCAACGGCTAAATTCGTTAAATGTTAATCATTAACCAAATGTTTTGACGTTTTGAAACTCTGCGTTTTGAAATTAGTTCACGTCAAGTCAGACCAGAAATGGAATAACATAAGGCCACATAAAAAAAAAATACTTGGTTAGCGTCACCGCCCGCCTCTCGATTTCTGCCGCCTCTGAATTTTTTTTTATTTTTTTTTATGTAAATCTCTTCGTTTTACAGCTTAAAACAGATTAATATTTGAAATTTTTCTCATGCTCAGACCTTCGCGCTATATACTGATGGTAATTGCTAGATAGTATACTTCAAAATAAGGTTTCCGTTTTTATAACGTAGAAAACACCATCCTAATGCAAAACTAAACCCTAACCCTAATACAAACCTTAACCCTAACCCCAACCATAATCTAGCCCAAACCCAAACCTAACCCTAACTTATTTAAAAACTTGATATAAAAACGGAAACCTTATTTTGAAGTATACTATCTAGCAATTTCCATATACTGATCGATAGGAGCGCGTGGGATTGGGTATACAAGGTTCTTATAGCAAAATGGCGGCCTTCGCAACATCAGTACAAAAAATGTCACCGACATGGTGGAAAAACCGCCCCCATCCCCCCAAAAAATACTATTAAAAAATTAAAAAACGAGTAAAAATTAAAAAAAAAAGCGCCCGCCCGCCTCTGAAAATTTGTGAGAGTGTGACGCTAACCAAGTATTTTTTTTTTATTTGGCCTAATATAAGAAGCAAATTTAAAGATACAAGCTGAAAAATAACACTCTAAGTAGAGTTTCTGATAGAGATTCGAACAAGAATATTTAACAAAGAAGATACGTCCGAAGGGGCCGAAGTTATGATCGGCGAAAGGTATGGGCTAGTCTATATTTTCGTTCAGACAATTACATGCGTTTAATTTGATAATATACGATCTCGCTTGACTTTCAAAGGCCATAAATCGCAATAATGTTGACATTTTACTAAAACTATCGATAGAAATTAGAAGATATTTCTTCACTGAATCGAACAGTGGGATTTTCATATAGGCCTATCATGTTCTGAACCAAAGATACTTGATAGATATATATACGAACCTCCAAAGTATAAACAAGGGGCCGGTTGATGCAGTAATTATCAAATAACAGTTAAACTCTTATATACCCGTTGAATATGTATAGTTGTAAACAAATAAAAACTATCGTTCTATAAGGTTCAATACTTTCAGTTTGGTTGTTGGCTGATGATGAATCTATAGTATAGACTTGCATGCTTTGTATTTTGAGCTTATTAAACCACCGTTTTAAGGCAGCTAAACGGGCTTGGTTTATATTAACACATAAAATAAATTCCTTGATTCTCATCACTAGACACAGTCTACACTTTGAAATGTCGAAGACAGTGGGAGAGTTATTTTTTATATTTTATATTTATATAATTTATATATCAATAGTTCGTATCTCCACGAACAATGACAGAATGACTGAGTTTCTTTAAAATACAATGAAATTTCATTCAAAATTCTGTTTGTTTCAAATTGGAAGTTTAAAATGGCAATAAAAACTCTATATAAAATATAAAAAAATTAACTGTCTTGAATTATTTTGTCGGGCGGTACATTTATATTGTATAACGAAATATAAAACGTTTTCTGACGAGGATTTTAAAATTCAGTTGGGCGGTGATGAGAATCAAGGAATTTATTTTATGTTGGGCAGTTGGGACTTGGGAGCAGCTTGGGAGTGGCTAATTTTGAATATTTACTTAATTAATGCATCTATAAATAGCGTTGATGCTTCAGGGGCGGTAGTTCATTTACACCCAGTTTTGCGGCAGGCGGTATTTCCTAAGTACCGCCTGCCATGCAGGCTAATGATTAATTTGTTCTTCTCCGATGAATCTTCGGAAGCTTCCCATTGGTCAGTCTCGTAACGGAAGTAATTTGCTCGCGTATCGAAAATATGCCGCCTGTTATTAAATGCTTTCGAGGGAACTGAAACCAGAATAGAGAAAGTCTATTATTTTAAATTAAAATTTGCTACGTAGGAAGAATCGCGATAACCGGCGTCTTCACCACGGAATACGGCAAATCGGCAAATCAAAGCTTGCCGAGCAGGGATCGAATATTCCTTATAGTTGTCTTGTTATTTGTTCACTTTAAAGTATAATTCAAGACCAGATAGTTGAGGCTACATCACTTGGCATTGCAGCCATGAGGTTGGATGATGATTTTAAGAATATTTCAAAACATGCTCAACGGCTGTTATTTGCAGTTAATTTGCTATACGGCAGAATACGTTAAACAACCGTGGTTCAGGAGCAGGGCAGCCGAGAGGTTGGCGGGGGCCCGGGGCAATTTTTTTTTAGGGGCCCCTATCTAAAAAAATTTCGGTCAGTGTACCATTTTAGGGGTAAAAAATGGGGCCCAACAAAAATTTTTCAGGGGCCCCAGCACCTCGGGGCCCGGGGCAATTTGCCCCCCTTGCCCCCCCCCTCTCGGCGGCCCTGTTCAGGAGTCTTTTAAAAGATAAAAGCTCTGTGTTGTGACTGTTGTCTAAAATAGCTTCAAAAACTCATTAATAATTCATGACGAAAAAACACAAAGAAAAATCATAAACGTGTATCTTTATATGTGATAGAGATTTCCCTTGATTTACATAAACTTTAACTTTTCTCTACATACAAAACGAATTTTTTGAAAGCTATTTCGCCAATGAACTTATACTAGATCGATCGTTTTTGAAGCAATTTAAAACATTCGCAGTGCGTGTTTTATCAGACCATCTTTATATCTGATAAAACACTGCTGCTCATGTTTTAAATAGTACATAAAATCTCCTCTCTCCTCCGCAGAGGCTTACATGAAGTTTCTAGTGAGGGAAAAGTGAGCGCGCAAGGAGTGATGGGAAGAGCTAAATAAAGGAAGCCTCTGCGAGTTAATACAATCAATATGGCGTCGTATATAATCGTTTGTAGCGAAGTTCGATCAACCATCGGGTGTGTTAAAACATGTTTTCCACTTTCATTTTCAGGCGTACTTGAGTATACTGGGGTGAATTCAATATCAATATCTTCTTCTGTCCATTTACATCGAAAAATATTGAGAAATTGCAAACGAATATCAATGAATACGAGCTTGTCGAGCTATCTGATTATAAATATCCTCTTAATTGCAACATCAACCTCGTTCCCAGGGCTTTCGTGTGAGGACGGGGGAGAGGCGAGACCATAGATATAGGAGATCTACATTGCTAACGCATACCTAGCGCAGGCGGGGCCTACATGATAAATCCAAGATGGCGGTACAACAGGTCAAAAAGACTATAAATTCTATATGATTGAATTGGATGAAAACTCGCAAAATTATCCATCGATAAAAGTTCGTGTACAGTACTGATATAGTACTATATATGTAACTTGTACAGTTTTGCTTTAATTTTTGCTCACTATTTGCATAAAAAGCAAATTATAACAGACCATAGATGATAGACCCTCATCCAGTGCTCTCATCAGTTTACTTCTCTAACAAGCAAGGGTACATAACAGTTCATTTTTCATAATTATGAGGACAGAGCAGATGATGATGAGAGATGCAAGTATAAAACACCATTCACAAGGCTAGATGTTAACATAGCACAGTATATATATTTCTGGCAATAAAACGCTCCAACTGACCAACTGACCATTTCACACGAACTTTTATCGCTGGATAATTTTGCGATTTTTCATCCAATTCAATCATATATATGCTCAAAATCTCCGCGGTAAGTTTCTCTTTACCATAAAATTTGACCGAATAAGTTTCGAAACAATGCGACGGCAAAAAATGAAAAAATCCTGATTTTCGTAATAGAATCTATATAGTCTTTTTGCCCTGTTGTACCGCCATATTGGATTTATCATGTAGGCCCCACCTGCGCTAGGTACGCGTTAGCAATCTAGATCTCCTATATCTATGGGCGAGACCGGCCCTGGACCGGCCCTGGACCGGCCCTGGTCTGGGCCGGTCACGTGAATACCCGAAAAATGGCAGT